TGTCTTTGTGCATGTCTCTGGTTTTTCTCTCTTCTCTGTTTTTGTATTCAATGGAGACTAGCTTATATTATAGATATGAATGTATATGCATGCATATATATAGCTCTGTTTTTTTTTTTAGAATTTAATTTGTTGCAGAGAGGAGGGAAGTTGCTTCTCTAGGTTAAAGTTTTTTTTTTTTTGCAGAGAAACTTTGGTCATTTTTCATTTTTTTATTAGGGGACTGCAGATTCTCTGATTTTTATTGAGCTTGTAACTTGTAATTTTTATTTTTATTTTAAAATTATTAATTGTTAATGAGAAAACCAAAATATTTTTGTCAATACTGAAATATATATTGACGCTTATATGAGTTTTTTAGCTGGCTAAAATATAACTAGTTTTAGAAAGTTGCACTAGTCATTTGAACGACAAGAAAGAAAATAAATTCAGAAACTTACTCACCTACCATTTCACTTTCAATTGAGTGTATTTTAAGGAACATTGTCTTTGATTTATACGCGTAATGAAACTCAGTTGTTACTGTATTCCGCTTTTATAATACTTCCAAACTTTACATATACTGTATATAACTTTTCTTTAAGAAGATTAATTGAATCCAAAATCAAAATGGTAAATGATAAATTAGATTTGTAATCCATTTTTCAAAATTAAAATTGGCCTAAACTATATGACAAACATTTTACGGTATATGTAAAGTTTGGAAGTTTGAAAAATGTTAAACGGGTTCACTTTATTAAATATTTTGTATTTTTGCTAACGTTGGATTCGTTGGATTCCTTTCAACAAACTATAGAAAATCCCGTCATTAATCAAAATCACAAGTTTCTTTCTTCACGTGTCGTTTAGTATAAAGAATACTTATTAGATAACACAATTATTTTTGTGAAAATGAAATCGGAAAAAAAAATCTGATAACTTTTTTTAACTCCATCTTTTTCTCTTTTTTTTTGGGCTAGTTCGACGATATATTTTTCCCACTATTATTTGGTAATGAGGACTTAATTCAAGAAAATAAAAACGACAAAATGAAAAAAAAATCAGATAAACGTAGGCACGTGTAGTAGGTGTTCAGAAAGTGGGCCTTCATTACAATGGCCCAACAAGTTCGCATGCCTACGTGTATAACGTGTAGGTGTTCTGAAAGTGAGCATTTGTCCCCAACGGCCCAATAATCTATCACATGTGACAGAGTTCACGTGTCTTTTCTTTCGCGCTTCGTCTTATTCATAATATTTTGACAAATGTTTCATTGCTTTCTCACGCCTCACCTAAATTATTTCTAAGCTAAGATTACATACAATATCATTGTACGGTTTTCAATAACCAATTTTGCCTAGAATGTGTAAGGATAAGGACCGGTCGGTTAAAAGCGACCCTCTCGTTGTAGATTAAGAACTAAGAAGTCACGGTTCTATCATTTTAATGCAATGCTTGTAACTTTTTTGGAACAAATATACAAATTTGTTCTCTTGATCTCCACGACGCAACACGTCAGTTCTGTCTTCTCTCAGTTCTCACTCGTCACTCCTAAGCCTTCCGAAAAGAAAGCAATAACACTTCAACAAGCAAAGCATTTTTTCTTGTGTGTTTCTCCTTTCTCAGACGAGTACAAACAAATAAAATATTATGTACCATTTGATTTTAGCTTATGATTTTTAGTATTAACATGGCGTAATTGTAACAGATATCACAACAAATACTGCAGAATCTTTGATGTGATATCTTTAGTTCAAATATGGTACTTTGAATTTGTAACATATATAAAGAACTAGTTTTGACAAAAGACAAATAGGATATATGTATTTATTATAATTTGCAAGACAAATGCTGTCTATAAAGAATTAATTACGGATTTTGCCCTTTTTTATAATGGCATTTGTGGATTTTGCCCTTTTTTGAATAGTTTGTGGATTTTGCCCTTTTTTCAGGCTCCAAAAATATGATTTAACATGCGTTTCACTCGTTATGTTTGGGTTTAGTCGGTTCTATTTGTTCTTAGGGTTTAGTATTCGGTATAAAGTACGTAGTTTTGCAAAAAAAAATCATAAATACGTACATTTTTAAGTGTTAAAAAATGGTAAAATCCGTAAACTATTCAAAAAATGGCATTTTCGTAAGTTTTTCCAAAAAAGTGGTATTTTAGACAATAATCCCGTCTATAAAATTAAATATAGTATATATTTTCCTATGTTTGTTTTTCTACGATAATTTGTGGTGGACTACTTGTTAACAAGTGGCTTATTTGATATTCCTAGAAACTAGTGTTGGAATAACTTTCAGTACTTTATTTTATTTAAATCATAAATATATACAACCCAGAGTCCTAGACTCCGAAGGAACAAAACGACTAAAGGACATAAAAATACGTATGAATAAGTAATAACGACTAAATTTTGTAAACGTATTAACTTACAAATAATTGATAGGATTTAGAGTCTATATAAAAGGGTTTGTAGTGGGCTGATCGATTTATAAGTTGACATGTTACTTTAAATTTCGTGGGTAGACAATTGATGATAAACCATCGATTATACAAAATATTGGACACAAAAGTAATAAAAAAAAACGCATACACGAAACACACTAACACACACCGACCATTTTATTATGCGAGCAATATAGTTCTTCATCTGGACCTACCAAAATAACGTAATTAGGTCGCCTAGCTTTTGTAGCAATTGAAATCAAACGACGCGTCGTTTGTCGGCAACAAAATAAACGGCAACACGTTAGGCGTAGTCTATTCAGGGATCGAACGACGTCGTCGAGTGCTTAATAGTTATTTTTTTCTTGAATAAATAGTTTTAATAAATGTGTTTTGTCGTTTATTTTTAAAAATTATATTTGTGTGTTGAGTAGAAGTGTAGAACTCTCTCTTTTTCTTTCTCTTCTAAGGATTCTTCATTTTAAAACCGATCAGTATTCTTTCGCTAATGTCACTAGAAGGTACCTAATACCTACTCCATGATACTCCCAAATGTCCAAAAATAACCCTATAAAACTTATAGCTTATATAATGAATGAACTCAAAAATGACTAACAATGAGACAAACAAAAACGAAAAAAGATATAACAAAAATTAAGCTAACTTGTTTGTATGTCGTTTTTTTTTTCTACTTTGTTCTTCTTAATATCTGTTTTTAAAAATTTTAGTTGTTAATTTTAATCAATAAATCTCTAAAAAAACTATTATATATGCTGGAGAGATACATCATATCTTTCCTTATATATAATTTATACTGTCAGTGTCACCCCTTCTTGCTGGCACACGCTTGGCTTCAAGCCTCCCTCGATTGATCTATTCATCTACCTAAATTCTAACATAATTCAGTTTTAACAATATTTATGTGTGCATATATAAACAAAAGTCCAAGGGATTTGTAGCAGATTAAAAAAGTATTCAAATTTCATGGACATATACAATTTCGTCTACCTAAATTTACCCATTTAATAATACCAGGGATCCCAATATACCATTAATATGATAAATGAATTGTAGGAAAATATAGATAGATGTGGGCAGAGTAGTGTTCTTAAATACTCATCAAACATTAAAAAAAATTTCTGTTAAAGAAAAACATTAGTTTCTACTATTATTCTTAAATGCTAAACTAAAAACCCTATATATTTTTCTCGTCGGTGCGTTAGAAAACTAATATCCAAACACGTATTTTTTTCGCCGGTCAAATATCAAGAACAAGTTAATAATTAAATTGATATGAAAGCGAACGTACACGAAGAAAATTTCAACGAAGACATTAGTAAGGAGATGAGAGGCAAACCACGTACAATGGCCGATTAACACGTTTTCACCAAACTAAGCCTTCACATAAATTGGGATAATCTAAACTAAATGATTGATTATCAATGATGTAACTTTTTGTTTGACAATAATTTGGAAGTTAACGAAATGATTGGCATATATATATAAATGCTGAATATTAGGACCGGCAAATTGAAGCATTAATTAGTAAATAATTTTTTGCTAAGTTATCTTTTCTAGTACGAATAATCAAATTACTTGGATTTATATCCGTCTAGAAGAAAAGGTCATATATGCTACAAGAATCTCGTGAGTTTCTTCAATAAGGTTTTGTTAATTACCTTATTATACTCATAATTGCGACATTAATGCGTGTTATTACTCTTATTTTACCCACATGTCTCTTCTTTACAAGCAAAACAAACTACCTTTTTCTGCACAAACAAACTCACTTTTAATTTAGTAAAAACAATTAACTTTTTTCACTCTATTTCCTTTTTTGATTCCACTTAGATGTGAAGGGAAAGTAATTAATTCTTCAAAGCAATAATGAAAGGACCCAATCATAACCAATCTTCAAAGTAATCTTATACTGTATGAAAGCTTCGTTTTTATTTTTCTTATTATAACAATTAATTCAGTATATGAAATTTTCATACATAAGTTAAAAAGGAAATTAAAATACCAAAAAGAAAGAAGAATATACAACCTATAAAAGCGCGTAGGCCTTATGAAAACTACAGCTAGTTATTATTTAATTTTGTATTCATTTGTATTTTTATTTTCTTTTAATTTGTGGAAATGAGAGAATTCATAAAAACCAAAAAAGACAATGCCTCAGACCATAACCATGATACACCAACCAAGATTAATTGTTTTAAACAAATTTTTCATGAAAAACTAAAAAGGAAAATTAGCATAATAAGTGTAACATTAACTAATATTAAAATGAAAAATTAGTAGTACTAATTAATAAACAAATGTAAAAAAGTAGTATATGGGAAGAAATAAATAAAAAAGCAAAGCAAAGCGCCGAAGCGTATTTGTAAGGCTCTTGGATTCTTACTTATAGCAAATCGTGCTTGCCAGCTTTTTACTCGATAAATTCGTCTTATGGCTGAAACTGTATAAAATCTAGCTTAAACTAAATTTATCCTCTAAAGTTTATTAAATTAATAATAAAAATTCTCTGAATTTTTTTATACAAATTTTGGGTTTTTGCCATTTGGGTTTTCTTCTGTCTCATCTGGTTTGAGAGAGAGAGAAGTGAGAGAAGGAGAAGGAGGAAGAAGATGACTGAGAATCGGGTGGTTTTGGTTCTGCTTATACTCTGCATTGTTGGGTTTGAGCCAAGTTTCATCTATGGAGCTACAGATTCATCAGATAGTGAGTTTTTACTTTTTTTTTTTTGCTTTCTTCGAAAATCTTCCTAAAAGTCTCGATCTTTTTTCAGGTTTTTAATCCATCATTTGTGTAGTTTTATTGATGATTCTGGGTTTATGTTTCTTCTACAACTTTTGATTTCTTCATAATCATCATCCACAAAACTCAAAACTTTGTGTCATAATGTTCTTTTCTTCAAAACAGGTTTTGTTTCGACCAAATGAGTTTTTTTTTTTCTTCCACAAATCTCAAACCTTTTTCCTTTTTCACACACTTTATGTTTTGTTTTTCTTTTTGTTCCTTTTTTCTGAGTTTTTTTTTGTTCAGCCTCAAACATTTCTCTAATTAGACCGGAAAATTTAAGTTCTTTAGTTCATAAAACCCCTAATGATTCTCAAATCTTGGATCTATTTCATGGAACCGACCGACAAAGATGATGTTTATGATGGTTTGGAATAGTTCCCTCATGGTCTCTGTTTCTTAATATGTGCAGCTTCTGCGTTAAACACCATGTTCAGCTCCATGAATTCTCCAGGACAGCTATTACAATGGACAGCATCAGGAGGTGATCCTTGTGGCCAAAACTGGAAAGGCATAACTTGCTCTGGCTCAAGAGTTACTCAAATGTAATCACTTTTGTATCAAATTTTATATCACTTTGTTTTGTTTCTTGTATCCATGCCTTAATACATTTATCTACTTGCAGAAAGTTGTCAGGTCTTGGACTTTCTGGATCACTTGGATATATGCTTGATAAATTGACTTCTGTTACTGAGTTGTATGATTCATCTTCCATTATACTCCAAAGTTTCTACTTTTGTGTATTTGATGGTGTGGCTTATAACCATGGATTGTTTTTGGTGAAACATGCAGTGATCTAAGCAACAATAACATTGGAGGCGATTTGCCGTATCAGCTTCCTCCAAACTTGGAACGATTGTATGTTTGATGATTCTCTCTGTTATATGTTCTACAAATTTCTCTTTTTGTTTTGCAAGTTGATAAATTTTTGATTTTGTCTAGGAATCTTGCTAATAACCAGTTAACCGGATCTGCTCAATATTCCATTTCTATGATGGCACCTCTTAAGTACCTGTAAGTTCTTGAATTTATTCTCAAACATCTCTTGGAGAATGATTGGTTATTTAATTCTCCATTGGTTTTGTCCAGCAATCTTGCTCATAACCAGTTGAAGCAACTAGCTATTGACTTCACAAAACTCACCTCTCTCTCTATCTTGTAAGATCCTATTTTTTCCCGAGTTAAAGAAGTAAGTTAAAAAACTTGGTTAGTTAATAAACAAAGTTTTTGTGTGTGTTTCAGGGACCTCTCTTCCAATGCTTTTACGGGGTCGCTCCCAAACTCTTGTAGCTCTCTTACGAGTGCAAAATCAATGTAAGACTTCTTTAAGTAGGTCTCTGTATTGATAAAAAAAACTCACTGTAAGTGACCCAGTTAATACTAACATTATGTTTTCTGAACTTCACAGTTATCTTCAGAACAATCAGTTCTCAGGCACCATTGATATCCTAGCCACTCTTCCTCTCGAAAATCTGTGGGTAACTTAAGCTTAGCCACTTTTAGGAATTTTTACCTGTAGACACCACTTGAATGTTGTTCTTGCTGAATGATTTCTCCTCAGGAATATTGCAAACAACCGATTCACAGGATGGATCCCCGATTCTTTGAAAGGCATTAACTTGCAGTAAGTTTTTCATTACTTTCTTCGATTCTTGGATCTTTTCTCTAATCTCACTAATTTTTTCCTGAATGATTTTGGAAACAGAAAAGATGGTAATTTATTAAATTCTGGGCCTGCACCTCCACCACCTCCCGGTACACCTCCGATTAGTAAATCACCTACTCCGAAATCCGGGAACCGTGAAACTCGGTCCAATGGTGATTCCAGCAGTAGCAAAGACTCCAGCAAATCAGGGCTTGGAGCTGGTGGAATAGCAGGAATAGTCATTTCATTGTTAGTTGTAACAGCAGTCATAGCTTTCTTCTTGATCAAGAGAAAAAGATCAAAGCGGTCATCATCCACGGACATTGAAAAGACTGATAATAACATTAACCAGCCCATTATACTAGCGTCAAATGACTTTCATCATGGTAATAACACGTTAAACCTTTTTTTGTCAAAAAGTATTATACATTAAATAATCTTATGGTTTTCTAATTTTGTAATCATCTGGTTGCAGAGAATAAGTCTGTACAGAATCCACCATTAGTTGAGACAAAGAAATTGGATATGTCATTGTCGATGAATCTACGACCTCCACCAGCTGAGCGACATAAGTCGTTTGATGACGATGATTCAACAATGAGAAAACCCATTGTAGCAAAGAAAGCTGCTGTTGTTGTTCCTTCAAATGTGAACACATATACGGTTGCAGATCTTCAAATAGCTACCAACAGTTTCAGCGTAGATAATCTTCTCGGCGAAGGGACATTTGGAAGAGTATACAGAGCTCAGTTTGAAGATGGAAAGGTATTATAAAATCCTCTACTTGTAAGAGCACAATGTCATAATATTCTGCTGCTGAGACATTGTTTTGATCTAATAGGTACTTGCTGTGAAGAAAATTGACTCATCTGCACTTCCCACGGATACGGCTGATGATTTTACCGAAATAGTATCGAAAATAGCGCATTTGGATCACGAAAATGTCACAAAGCTTGATGGTTACTGCTCTGAACACGGGCAACACTTGGTGGTCTATGAGTTCCATAGAAACGGCTCATTGCATGACTTTTTACATCTTGCGGAAGAGGAAAGCAAACCACTGATATGGAATCCCCGTGTCAAGATCGCTCTTGGCACTGCACGAGCATTGGAGTAAGTCTTTAAACATCTCAATCACATTATTGCTCGATATACCAGCAGGCAGCAGAGTCTCATGGAAAGTATTGTTGTTGTTGCAGGTACTTGCATGAAGTTTGCTCACCATCTATAGTCCACAAGAACATTAAATCAGCAAATATTTTACTTGACTCAGAGCTGAATCCCCACCTCTCAGACTCAGGTCTCGCTAGCTTCCTTCCCACTGCAAATGAGGTATATATAGTGTAGGCTTAACTTCTCAAAACTCTAATATCTCTCCCTTTTGTTCCTTCATGGAACTTGTTCCTTAGCATTCTGTTGTGTTGTGCAGCTACTGAATCAAAACGATGAAGGATACAGTGCACCAGAAACTTCAATGTCAGGCCAATACTCTTTGAAGAGCGATGTTTACAGTTTTGGAGTAGTGATGCTTGAGCTTTTAACCGGAAGAAAACCATTCGACAGGTACTATTACGATCCATATCCCTCGCCTTCCTAATAAAAACTTAAGAGGTAAAATGTGTTCTGAATTGAAGTAAGTCTTGGTGATTGTTCTTTGTAACAGCACAAGGTCAAGATCTGAACAGTCATTGGTAAGATGGGCAACACCTCAGCTTCACGACATTGATGCTTTGGGGAAAATGGTTGATCCAGCTCTCAAAGGGCTTTACCCGGTTAAATCCCTCTCCCGATTTGCAGATGTTATCGCCCTTTGCGTTCAGGTAATCATCTGTATAACAAAATGAATGAAATGTGATGATCTGAAGAAATAAAATCTGAATGTAAATTGTTCTTATGATCTGTAACAGCCGGAGCCAGAGTTTAGACCACCGATGTCTGAAGTGGTGCAAGCGCTGGTTGTATTGGTGCAGAGAGCTAACATGAGCAAGAGAACTGTCGGACCCGGCTCCGGTAGCTCCGGCGTCAATGATTACATGTAAATTCTTTACCTGATGAGTACCAACAAAAGAAAACATAAAAATTTGCCCTTTTCTCTTGTCTGCTCGGATTCTGGGTCGGACGACAACAAGTGAAGTGAGAGAGACAAGACAAAACAAAACAAAATCCTTTTTTTTTTGGTTTCATAAAACTGATGAGAGAATAACAACACAACAACCCTTCACGCATTGTACACTCCCATGTTTCTTTGTAATTTGTTCCCAATTTGTAGCTTTTTTAGATTCCGACAACATGAACAAAACCATCCCCTTTTGTGAGTTCCGATCAAAGACGGTATTTTTCCATTGTAATCTTTTATTTTGTTTGAATAAATTTCATGTTAATAAATTGGAATATGATCGATGATTTCAAGTTGTGTGCTTCGAGCAAATTTTCAGCAATCCCGGATTTTCACCGGCATTGAAGCCGACGACGGAACCGTCAACCTTCATAAAATATTAGAAACCCGACCCGAAAAACTTCAGTGACACGTGGATATGTCACGTGGACGCTTTTATGACACGTGGTAGACAGTCGACTATAGTAATGCACACCTCACGTCTGAATCAAAAACCATATAATATCCACGAATAATTCTTGAAAAATTAAGCAAAGAAAAAGGTTGAGGGTGGAAATCACAAGAATGATGATGATCGGAAAGTTGTGGAGATCTGTGGGAACCGTCGGAAAGTGTGATGGTCGGTATTATGGCGTGAGGACGATGGTTGGAAAAGCCTCGAACCGAGCTGGTGTTCATGGTTCGAAACTTCCCAACGCTAAAGCACTTGACAATGTTAGTCACTAACTAGTTGAGATTTCATAATTTTCATTTTTGTTTTGTTTGTTACTAAGCTAGCTTTCATAGTAATTATGAGTTATATGAGATCCAATTATTTTAATGCGTAGGAGGAAGAGATCAGGGAGAGGATTAGTAAAGGGAGTGAAGACAAAGAACACAAAAGAAGAGAGGTTGAGAAAAAAGTTGAAGGCTCTCAAAGAGGATCTAACTGCGAAGATGCATCTTCCGACCGGTGATGATGGTCATGGTTTTTATTTCCTGCTTAATCTCTATAACTTTACTATACGCATTGTAGTAATTTTTTTTTTTTTTTTGGCTCAACAACAACTTTCAATTCACCAATAGCACTGTTACACATTGTAGTAAACTAGTAAATAGTAATGCTATTGTAGAATAAAAATGTAATGTTACTACGATTTTTCTAATTATGTGGTCTCGAATAAAAGAAAAATATAATATATGCATTTATCGTGACTTAAAAAGCCCAAATATTAAAGGCCCATTAAGTCTGGCTTATCCATCTCCCTCTTCTTCTCTGTCTCGTCTGGTTGTGGCTCAGACAGGAGAGTTTGAATTTCACCTTCTCTTACTCCTGAGCTGAATGAATCTCCAATGGCTTCTTTAGGTACGTTGACATTCTTATTTAGAACATTTTGGATCATTGGTTCGAATTCTTACCCTTGATGATGTTTCCATGATTCAAAAAACTTGCAGATGTTATCACTCCACAAGCTTATCTTACTCCATTGGGGTCTCAAAGTATCACCCATGCAAAATTCTTACAAATCCCATGGAGACAATCTGTCTTCTCAAAGCATTTAGAATTAAACACAGGTCTCTCTAAATCAACCAAACTCGACGAAGCCGTGACCTTGATAGAGAAGTCATCATCATCATCATCAGCGTCCAATCTCTCCACTCCTGAAGCTTACACAGACCTTCTTCATGCTTGTATCTCCGCTAAATCGCTTCACCATGGTATAAAAATCTGTTCTTTGGTTCTCAACAATCCTAGTCTCCGTCACGATCCCAAATTACTTAGCAAGCTCATTACCCTTTTCTCGGTTTGTCGCCGATTGGATCTTGCTCGGAAAATCTTTGACGATGTCACTGATTCGAGTCTACTTACTGAGAAAGTCTGGGCAGCGATGGCGATTGGGTATTCTAGAAATGGGTCACCACGAGACGCTTTGATCGTGTATGTGGATATGTTGTGTAGTTTCATTGAGCCTGGGAATTTTTCGATATCTGTGGCGTTAAAAGCTTGCGTGGGTTTGAAAGATCTTCGGGTTGGTAGAGGAATCCATGGCCAGATTGTGAAACGGAAGGAGAAGGTTGATCAAGTTGTGTATAATGTGCTCTTGAAGCTTTACATGGAACGTGGCTCATTTGATGATGCACGTAAGGTGTTCGATGGAATGTCTGAGAGAAATATTGTTACTTGGAATTCTTTAATTTCGGTACTTAGCAAGAAAGTTCGGGTTCATGAGATGTTTAATCTGTTCAGAAAGATGCAGGAAGAGATGATTGGGTTTAGTTGGGCGACTTTGACGACAATATTACCCGCTTGTTCACGTGTCGCTGCTCTTCTCACTGGGAAAGAGATTCATGCGCAGATTCTGAAATCGAAAGAGAAACCTGATGTTCCGTTACTTAATTCATTGATGGATATGTATGGGAAATGTGGAGAGGTTGAGTATTCTCGGAGAGTCTTTGATGGGATGTTAACTAAGGATTTGACTTCATGGAACACGATTCTAAACTGTTACGCAATCAACGGAAATATCGAAGAAGTGATAAATCTGTTTGAATGGATGATAGAGTCAGGCGTCGCACCAGATGGGATTACCTTTGTTGCTTTGTTATCCGGGTGTAGCGATACAGGGCTAACGGAATACGGTATAAGTTTGTTTGAACGCATGAAAACTGAATTCAGAGTTTCACCGGCCTTGGAACATTATGCTTGTTTGGTTGACATCTTGGGCCGAGCTGGTAAGATCGAAGAAGCAGTCAAGGTAATAGAAACAATGCCATTTAAGCCAAGGGCATCCATTTGGGGATCACTGCTCAACTCTTGCAGGCTCCATGGGAATGTTTCAGTGGGAGAGATTGCAGCGAAAGAGTTGTTTGTTCTTGAACCTCATAATCCAGGGAACTATGTTATGGCTTCGAACATATATGCTGAAGCAAAGATGTGGGACAATGTAGATAAGATTCGAGAGATGATGAAACAAAGAGGGATCAAAAAGGAAGCTGGTTGCAGTTGGGTACAGGTTAAAGACAAGATTCAAATCTTTGTTGCAGGAGGTGGTTACGAGTTTCGTAATTCGGATGAGTATAAGCAAGTATGGACAGAATTACAGGAAGCAATTGAAAAATCCGGTTATTCTCCTGATACGAGCGTGGTGCTTCATGATGTTGATGAAGAAACTAAGGCAAATTGGGTTTGTGGACACAGCGAGAGACTCGCGACAACCTACTCCCTAATTCACACAGGTGAAGGGGTTCCAATTAGGGTTACCAAGAATCTCAGAGTATGTGCAGACTGCCATTCATGGATGAAGATTGTATCGCAAGTAACTGGGAGAGTCATTGTCCTCAGAGACACCAAAAGATTCCACCATTTCGTTGCCGGCATTTGCTCATGTAAAGACTACTGGTGACTGCCTGACTGGTGAGGTATTATTCTATTTGCAACAAGTGAGTAGTAGAAGACAAAGCCAGACTTTTGGCGAACTGTAATCACTGGTTTCTCGCTGATTGCGTCGGCAAGTGGCTTCGAAGCAAGGTTGGTTCGGTGCAGCCAGGAACGAGACCAGAACTTGGTGGGGACGAGGGTTTTACTTTTACTATAGACGTGGCCTCAAGACGCTGTTGTGGATTGTGGTAGATATTCTGGCAAATGGTGGTTGCGGCGAAGCAAACGAAGGTCAACCAGATTCAACGGCGGTTGTGATAGACATTCCGGCGAAAGAGATAAAATCAGGCCCATGTTAGTCTATATATATAGGCCCATTATATGTGAAGATAATGTCCATGTATTAACTAGCTACCGAGAGATATATAGTGTTTGTTTTTTGTGTGCAAAATTTATGAATCTTGAGATTATTAAATACAATTTTTTTTACGTCAAAATCTTAACTATAGTCCAAATGTGATATTTCAACTTGCAAGAAAGATACGAATGTCGCGATGAATGTTTTTTTTTTGTTGATGATATAAATATTGTTGTAGTAACTTTTCTTAGAAACAATTACATTTCCCAACGCTCTCTACTGACACAATTTAAATAGATAAACTGTGTATGTGCAGCAGCACGTTCAAAGCGTGACGACAAACAAATCTATCAACCAAACAATGTGACCATTATAAAGAATTATTAATTGGCAGACTCGTAATTGTTGGAAGGTTGGAATAGGATTAGAGGTTTTATTGCAACAGACAATTTTTCATAAAAGTAGTGTAGAAATAGGTATCTTCAAAAAATTAACTGTGGGAGTATAAATTTTGTTTACTACTATTACTAACTAAATATGTAAATCCTAAAACAACTTGATACATCAAAGCTTTGGAAAAAATAAACACCCTCACTGTAATTAACTTAAATACGAATTATGATATTATTTATAAAATTAAGGTATTTGGTCATGATAGTTTCTCTATTTTTACTTATTGTAAAAAGAAAGCCGAAAACATAAATTAGTATCACTGCATCGGATGCCCTGTATTGGCAACTTGTTGATGGAAAGGATTATGCAAGTTGTTGCTGTCAACAAAAGAGATTATGCAAGTTGTTATGTTTATTTCTTTTAGTAATACCCGTTACGATTTATCACTTTAGATAATGAAAGATTAATGATAAAGAAGGAATCAAAATATTCACGTGATTATAACATCAACTTTTTTATATAAAAAAATAACAGAAAATATCGCCAAAAAAAAGAGAAAATTAAAAAGAAAGCATGTGATGATTACGAGTTTACTGTATGCTTTTCTAAACGAGGGAACAAACTTCAATTCATAATGCTATAGTTTCTTTGTACCAAAGACCCAAAAAAAATAGTCATTCTCCTGTATCCGATGCTTGGATTTAGGATACAATCTATCTCTTTAAAAAGCTTTTCTATATTTGGTCAATTAAACTACCGACACTGAAATAAACATTTCTTTATATATGACATCTACTTGAACTATGTTTGGAGAAAATATGAGACTATGTTTATAATCATCATTCTAAACCAAAAAAAAAAAAAAATTCATCATACTAAACCTACCAGTTATCCGATATGAACATGTTTTCATGTTATGTTTAGTGAAATCAGAAAATTAGTTTTTAGAGATGTTATCATAAGAGAACCAAAATTTGTCAAGGTTAACAAACAATCAGATTAGAAGATTTAAAATAGTATATACAAACATTTTGTTTTTGCAGAAAATAAAACAGATTTAAACTTTTAAACTCTGGCAGCCCAATATATTTGTCAGATATAATACAAATGAAGCTTTAGAGTCTGGATGTCAAAAAAAAAACAAAGGGTCTGAGTCTGATTAGAAAGTCATGGTAGAAACTTTAGGGTAAACTTAACAAAGATAAAAGTGTTTTTTTGTTCATTTACTCTGTTTTTTTTTTCCAATCAGGTGAAAAAGTGGAGAAATTTCTTTAAATGTTTTATACCGTCTATATAGTAATTTTTTCTTCCTCTTTCAAGTAAATAAAATGAGAGTAAACATATACAATTATTCAAATAATTTATTTTACTCTAATTTTCTTTTGCTTTTTCTTCCAATTATAATTACTGTACATTTACTCTAACTTTTTTACTCTCAAATTTTGCCAATCAGATCTAAAGAGAAAGCTAGAGTATGCGTTATAGCAACAAAAACTTGTATTTAAATTTTTATTTTCATGGAATTGCTGGAATAGCTTTATTCAAAAAAATAGTAGATGGACCCATGACAGGCTTGCAGTCTAGGCCACAGCCATCGGCCTAAATACTTTATATTTATAATTTCATCAATAATTTCGGTGCCACTAAAATCTTATTATGTACATAATTAATCGCTATAACACTTTTGCTTTGCTTTAATTACACATGCATACTATAATGTTCTGCCATAATATTTATAGAAACGTCAATTAATTCCTTTTATGTAATGATTAGACGTTCCAAGACCCATCATTGATAGGTAAAAACAGTCCTTTACCGCCATAGTTTAGTATAATGGCCGTTCTTTTAAGTATTGTTGTTAGATACATAAATCAACATTCTATACTTGTATGTAAATTATAGATGACAAAAAAAAATCAATTCTATACCTAATGGTTTTTTTAATCTAAGTACTGTGTATAAGAAGATTTATAATTTTAAGTAAGATAGTACTAATACAATATTTAACTCTTTAAAGACACAAATGTTATCAAATCAAAATTGAAAATAACAAGTGTTTCTGAAAACGACGGTCGAGTTACACACACCAATTGAATCCAAAATATAGTTTTTGTAACACTCGAGATTTCTTTTCAAATTGGTTGAATGACGAAAAGATTATTAAAATCACAAAAGAAGAATATGCTTTTTTAGTAAAGAAAAAAAGGTATATTATTGTCGGTTAATGTCTTAATGATAATATAATCCTAGTTTCCTAATGTGTATGAGGATAAACGTGGACGAGACTGGTGAGTTCATCACTGGCAAAGCAAAACAACGAATATTTAGGTAACAACTGTATGAGAAAAATCATCAATATCAAATACTAAAATACAAAATTAGGGAAAACGACAATAGTTTCCTGTCGAATTTCCGATAATATGAATAATATTCTGTTTTTTTTTTGTTCAAAGAATAATATTCTGATTAAAACATAAAACGAAAACCTTATCTTTATGAGCGAGGCAGCTTATATAACCCAGTGACTCTTTTTTTGTTTTTCTGAAATTCCACTCAAATAATAGAGTGAAGAAAAGTATAACCAGAAAAAGCCATTTTAATAGTATCGTGTTTGATTTTAATTTCATCAATATAGTTATTATATAAACACCCACTCTTCACGAGTACATTCATCATCATCACTCAGCAGTGTCAAACAATGGCACCATCAATGAAAGAAATCTTTTCCAAAGATAATTTCAAGAAAAACAAGAAACTTATCTTGCTATCCTCCGCCGTAGCTTTGCTCCTCGTAGCCGCCGTCGCCGGAATCTCCGCCGGAACTTCAAAAGCCAACGAAAAACGAACTCTATCCCCGTCGTCTCACGCCGTGCTAAGATCCTCCTGCAGCTCCACGCGTTACCCTGAGCTATGTATCTCCGCCGTGGCAACTGCCGGCGGCGTCAAGCTAACGTCGCAAAAAGACGTCATCGAGGCATCGCTGAACCTAACAATAATCGCCGTGGAGCACAATTACTTCAACGTGAAGAAGCTGATCAAGAAGAGGAAAGGACTAACGCCGCGCGAGAAGACGGCGCTTCATGACTGTTTGGAGACTATTGATGAGACGCTGGACGAGCTCCATGAAACGGTGGAAGATCTACATTTGTATCCAACAAAAAAAACTCTCCGGGAACACGCCGGAGATCTCAAAACCCTAATCAGCTCCGCCATTACCAACCAGGAGACTTGTCTCGACGGCTTCTCTCATGACGTCGCCGATAAGCAAGTTCGTAAAGCCTTGTTGAAGGGTCAGGTACGTAAATTTAGATATCGCAAATGTATACAAAATGCATTTTTGTTTTTAAGTAGACAAAATGCAATTTTGTTTATGTTCATTAAATTTTATGGAATAGATAATAGTGGGAAAAATTATATATAGAGTTACCAGAAAACTAGATGTATCATAACATCACATCATAATTATCAAAGAAACAAAAAACTTCATACATCACATCACATCTCAGTGACAATTTTTTAGAGCTTGTTTATTCTTTACATTGAGATATTGTTAGCTAGAGCTGGTCCATACATATGAATAGTAGCTATCTATTGGTGTTATTAGAGTATATACTTGTAAATATATCAACTTGTTGGTAACACTTTTTTTTCGAAACTATTGCTTTATAACGAAATGATTAAATGTAGATACACGTAGAGCACATGTGCAGCAACGCTCTAGCAATGATCAAGAACATGACTGATACTGACATAGCCAACTTCGAGCAAAAAGCTAAAATAACCTCAAACAACCGTAAGCTCAAGGAGGAGAATCAGGAAACTACGGTGGCCGTAGATATCGCCGGAGCCGGAGAGCTAGACGCGGAGGGATGGCCGACTTGGTTATCCGCTGGAGATAGGAGGCTTCTTCAGGGTTCGACTGTGAAAGCCGACGCCACCGTCGCAGCTGACGGTAGCGGTACATTTAAGACGGTGGCGGCTGCGGTTGCGGCGGCCCCCGAAAATAGTAACAAGAGGTATGTGATACATATAAAAGCCGGAGTTTATAGAGAGAATGTGGATGTTGCAAAGAAGAAAAAGAATATAATGTTTATGGGAGATGGTCGGACGAGAACTATTATCACCGGAAGTCGAAACGTCGTCGACGGTAGCACCACTTTCCACTCCGCCACCGTTGGTAAGCAAATTTAATTATTAACTTTTTGAAAAAAGATAAAAAGCAATTTTGCACGATTGTGGTCCTTTATTTGGTGGAAAAATCTTTACTCTTTTCATGCACATTAAATATACACATGTAGATTCTTGTCTTTGTACCCCCACTACAACAGATATTCGCGCACATGTAGCCTAGTAGTAAATAACGAGATATAATTAAATGTGAATTTGAATTTACCAAATTGAACAAAAAACTTAGTTAGATCTGAGTCATGTAAGAGTCTCTATCCATTATTTTCTTGGCTTTATTCATATGCTTTTCCAACTCACGTTATGTGGATTGGTTTATGGCTCATCCACTAGTGAAGAGAGCCGCTAGTTTTATGGAGTACCATTCGAATTCCTTTTTCCATTTTACTATACAAAATATTATTATTGTATGTTTTAAAGTTCGTTAAACTAAAGTGATATTTTCTAGCAAAACAAGTCTTGTCTTAATCTTTTAGCTAATGATGCCGTTAATTAACCGTTGTTTCTTTTTGTGGGGCCCAGCTGCTGTCGGCGAGAGATTCTTAGCTCGTGACATCACTTTCCAAAACACGGCGGGTCCGTCGAAGCACCAAGCGGTGGCTCTCCGTGTGGGTTCTGATTTCTCCGCCTTCTACAACTGCGACATGTTGGCTTATCAAGACACTCTTTATGTCCACTCTAACCGTCAATTCTTCGTCAAGTGTATCATCGTCGGAACCGTCGACTTCATCTTCGGAAACGCCGCCGTTGTGCTCCAAGACTGTGACATTCACGCTCGCCGCCCCAACTCCGGCCAGAAAAACATGGTCACAGCTCAGGGACGAACCGATCCGAACCAGAACACAGGGATCGTTATCCAGAAATGTAGGATCGGTGCCACGTCGGATTTACAGTCAGTGAAAGGTAGTTTTCCGACGTACTTGGGTAGGCCGTGGAAGGAGTATTCACAAACGGTGATAATGCAGTCGGCTATCTCCGACGTGATTCGACCCGAAGGGTGGTCTGAGTGGACCGGGACTTTTGCGTTGAACACTCTGACTTATAGAGAGTATGCGAATACAGGAGCAGGAGCTGGAACTGCAAATAGAGTGAAGTGGGGGGGCTTTAAGGTAATTACGGCTGCTGCTGAAGCTCAAAAATATACGGCTGGTCAGTTTATTGGTGGTGGAGGCTGGTTATCGTCGACCGGTTTCCCCTTCTCGCTCGGTCTTTGAGAGATTGTTATTGTGTAATGTGTTCCTACGTATTGTTGGCTACTAAAATTATTGATTATATTGTATGAATCAAATCGTGTTGTTCTCTTTGTTTTTTTTTGGGTTGTGTATTTCTCTAGATCGTAGTATTAGAAACGAGGTGAAATAATGCGGATTTTTTGCGCCTTAAGAATATGGATTTGAGATAGTGGGGATGTTGTCTATTTGATGATGATGATTGATGTCATAGTATGATGTCATAATAAAAACAAAACAAAAACATGTATTTTTCTTTTTTAATTGTCAACGAAACTTATGTCCACATATAATATAAGCAATGAGGACATTGCTTGTTAGATAATCCAACCTAGAAAGAGAATAAGCTATGAGGACAGCTGAAAGAAAGGGAATTTAGGTCTTCAGGATATATAATTCCCTTGTTCAAGATAATTCCCTTGTTCAAGGATGGCGTACTCTACCGGTAACCGGTTCGGAGTACTTAATTTTTTTTTATTCTTGATTAAATCGACCGGTTAATTTTTTTAAATCTAAAAATTAGTTTTTGTGTAAAGGAATAAAGCAAGGAGACAATAATTGTGTTGGAAATATATAAACCACATGAATGATAAAGGTAATTGCGCAATTTCGGTTAATATTTGACGGTGAATTCACCATTCAAAGCGTACAAGAAACTCGTCGTTGACCTTGGTTAGATTTAGCTGGCCAAAGTTGAGTTTGCCTACATATAACATTATTATCACTCAAATTAATATCTCGAAGACTCGAACTTTCCTCTGTACTTGTAACGTGTTTAACGTCATAATCACAATAATGAGCATTGGCCTATTGGGCATGTTAGCGCGTGGTTAACTTAGCCGAAGATAGTTCAATCTGACCGGAGGTCAATTGTATCAATAAGTACCACAGCAGGAGCTTAAATTAGATTTTGATTCACAAATCGTGGATTAATACCACTTATACTACTACCTAATTAGACCAAATATAAAAAAAAAGAAACAGAAAAAGACCAAATGTAACCATATCAACTATCAAGCAATATGTGATCTGTAATTACATTTACTACTGTCAGTTGGAAAACTGGCTTAGCCAATTAAATTGGTCAATTCCGGTTCATGAAATCATATAACCGGAGTCATCATAGCTATGAAAACTCAAGTTAGTGTAGTCAGTAGTGAGTCGACTAGAGATGTGGATGAGATGCCACTTGACAAGAAAGCACATGCCGGTATCGAGTTCGTGGAATGCAGATGCCAGATGGCCTTCTTACACATGTGTATACTTCTACTATAATATACTTTGGGTATGAATGGTAAACGTAAATCAGTAGTATGACATTTGGTAGACACTACTCGAATGTTCGAAACTGTTTAGATCTAGGCCGGGATTAATCTAAGTATTCATTGATCTTCGAATTCAAAAATGTCCAACTCTTTTGATTAAATATAACAGTAGGGAGACATTCTTGATATTTGACACGTTTGTTGGTTCATCTTATGGGCTTTTTTAGACCACAATCTTCAGTTAGAGACATTCTTGATAACACATTTTAATGGGTATAAAATTTGAATATGACCTAAGTTCTTTTTTGCAGTTTTTTTTTTAATTTGAGGTTGATCTTTTGTTAATTGGATATTCTTTTTTTTTAGCTGGTATTTCCCCCTAAGTAAAGTCAATCTTCCATTGCACAAAAAACGAAGACAATCTTCCAATGAGAGAAAATAGATCAAATTAACCTCTTTAAGACCAAATATTCCTTTGAATATGATATTTCCATAAACGACATTTATAGAACTTTGACAACCAGACTTCCTTAGTATTCTGCAAGAAACTTATCCCAAAAGGCCAAAACTAATGTACAGTAAGTATATCACTAAAATCGTCTCGTGGAAATATCACTAAAATCTATCCCAAATCAACACAATATCTCACCAATTATATCATTAAATTCGTAAATCTTGTACATCCAAAGTTTCCATAACAAAAACACCAAAGAATAGAATATATAAAAAGATCTTCAAATAAAATCATGATACAAATACATTATAAGCATGCACTATAATGTTCAATAAGATATAAAAATTAATCAATATACTTTTGAGGATATTTTCCCGCATTCAAATTCAAATAATTCTAAACAATTAAGCACACTCTAATCTTTAAATAACTCAAAACGATTATTTGAAATTAAATTGTTATTCTAATCCAACGTTAAACGTTGACAATACAAACTAATGTGTTATACATTGACTTTTTCTACTATGCTTATTGGCTTTCGCTGGATGATTTGCATGTGTTATCAAGTAAGACTTGAATGGTTTCTACTCTCTTAATAAGTAAGTACATGTGAAGACTCTTGGTATCACTTTCTATGGGCCTACTACAAGTGAAATTGTTACTTTAAATTAAAATGTGTACAAAAAAAGACAAACATTTTGGACTTTGACTTGAAACTAGTATTACTACTTATCACCAGTACCACCCAAATTCATGGTTTTTACTAAACCAGGTCGAATATTCTGCATTAACTTACACAATATTCAACTACAATTTGGTGAAAGACTCTGAAAGGAAAGTACCTAATGAAGATTGATACAAATTAATTAGTGACAGAAACTACCTAATAGGATGATCATAAAATTAATTAGTGACAGAACACGATGAATCTTCCACATGCCTAATTCTAATGGATCATTTACACACACTTCCTTAAGAAGCATCACAGAATTATCAAGTCACGTTAAAAAAATATTCACATTCCACTACTTATATAAAGCCATCGACACAGTCACATCAATAACCACCAATTCTATTGTTCTCGATTCACAGAAAAACACATACACAAAAGCATAAACCCTAGAAACCGAGTTTGATTTTGGTTTTTTGATGGATACTGTCAAGTCAATCAACAAAGGCTATGGCAAAGTAGACGAAGCTGAAGATTTGGCGTTGAAGAGAAAGACGAGGAAGCGTTTGTTTCTCATAGGCGTTTCCGTGGCGGTTCTGGTGTCGATTCTCATCAGCTCCGTCGTCGCCGTCGCTGTTCATAGCCGGAAAAACAAGTCACCTAATCCAACACCGAGTTCAGTCAACGAGTTGACTCCCGCCGCTTCACTCAGAACTGTGTGTAGCGTAACTCGTTACCCTGCTTCTTGTATCTCAAGCATCTCGAAGCTTCCATCGTCCAACACGACGGATCCGGAGGTTTTATTCAGGCTTTCGTTACAAGTTGTCGTCGACGAACTCAATTCGATCGCCGATTTACCGAAGAAGCTCGCGGAAGAGACGGACGATGAGAGAATCAAATCGGCGCTTGGTGTTTGTGGAGATCTATTCGACGAAGCGATTGATCGTGTTAACGAAACTGTTTCCGCCATGGAAGTTGGTGACGGGAAGAAGATTTTGAATTCGAAGACGATCGACGATCTCCAAACTTGGCTTAGCGCCGCCGTGACAGATCACGACACGTGTCTCGACGCGCTTGATGAACTCAGCCAGAACAAAACGGAGTACGCGAATTCAACAATCTCACTGAAACTCAAATCCGCCATGGTTAACTCCACCGAGTTCACAAGCAACAGCTTAGCGATCGTCGCGAAGATTCTCTCTACTTTAAGCGATTTCGGGGTCCCGATTCACAAGAGACGGCTCTTAAACTCGAATTCGTTTCCAAATTGGGTTAACCCACGGGTGAGACGGTTACTTCAATCGAAGAATTTAACACCTAATGTCACGGTGGCGGCAGATGGCTCCGGCGATGTGAGGACGGTGAATGAAGCGGTGGAGAGAATTCCGAAGAATGGGACAACGATGTTTGTTATATACGTGAAAGCTGGTACGTATGTAGAGAATGTGCTTTTGGATAAGAGTAAATGGAATGTTTTTATTTACGGCGACGGCAAGGATAAGACCATTATTTCCGGTAGCAAGAACTACGTCGACGGGACTTCTACTTTCAAAACGGCGACGTTTGGTAATTCCCTGACATTTCTTATTATACCCTCTGCTTTACCCAATTTTGAGTTTTTTTTTAACTATAGTAGTACTGCACTTTTTAGGCCAATTTCTTACCTTGATTTGGTAATTTTGATATTTATTTACCTATTTTAACTTATTTTATTAGCTGTAAAAATATAACTGAAGCTTTGAGAAATTTGCTTATAAAACGCTGTCGTTTTAAATACTATTAACTTGTTACTATTTCACTTGTTACGCAGCAACTCAAGGCAAAGGATTTATGATGAAGGACATCGGAATCATAAACACCGCCGGACCAGAGAAGCATCAAGCGGTGGCGTTCCGATCAGGATCCGATTTATCAGTTTACTATCAATGTTCATTCGATGGTTTCCAAGATACTCTTTATCCTCATTCAAATCGTCAATTCTACCGTAACTGCGACGTCACCGGAACAGTTGATTTCATCTTCGGAGCTGCCACGGTCGTCTTCCAAGGCTGCAACATCCGGCCGCGTCAGCCGCTTCCGAATCAGTTCAACACAATCACCGCTGAAGGTAAAAAGGATAAGCATCAGAACTCCGGAACCTCGATCCAGCGATGCACAATCTCTGCCAACGGAAATGTAACTGCTACGACGTATCTTGGCCGTCCGTGGAAAGAGTTTTCGACGACGGTGATTATGCAATCGGTGATTGGGTCGATCGTTAATCCCGTTGGGTGGATTGCGTGGAATTCGACTCTTGACCCGCCTCCGAGTACTATACTCTACGGAGAGTACAAAAATTCGGGTCCTGGATCGGATGTGACCCAGAGAGTTAAATGGGCTGGGTATAAGCCCATTATGTCTGATGATGAGGCAGGAAGGTTTACGGTTGCCACGTTTCTCCGAGGGGCTGATTGGTTACCGGTGATGGGAGTGCCGTATCAGCAAACTTAATGGCTTATTATTATTTGGTTTTTTATTTATTTAGGTTTTAATTATTTCTGTGATAGTTTTTAAGATAGTTTTTTAAAATGTTTTAGCTACAATATATTCTTTTGTAACCTCAAAGAAATATATTTTATTTTAAAATTTTCACGATCAGCACATCTCTTATTACAGTGTATCTTTCTTTTTGGTCAACACCCATTACATATCTTTTTTAATTTTCAATATTTTTCGAGTATTCATTTAAGTTAATGTTGGGGTTTGGCCGTTTGGATTAAATTCAATTAGGTTATTATAAAGATATACAAAATGGTTATTGTAATAACGTATAAATTTCACGTATATATTGTAATAACAAATAAGTTTCACGTATATATTGTAATAACAAATAAGTTTCACGTATAATAAACATTCATGTATAATTTCACTTAATATTCATGTAAATTCACATTTATAGAAATGTGTATCAAAAGAGAGTAGTGTCTTATTTTAGCTAAAAACAAAACGTAATAATGAAATAGGAATTGACATCTAACTCTTATACGAGCTCACTCCGGAAGTTACCGTTGCGGCTGAGGGATCCATAGATTTCTTCACTCTAGGTTAACACACTCAGTTATGTTCCGGTGTGCTTTCAACGGGTTCCAGGATACGCTTTATGCTCACGAGGGAAGGCAACTATATAGAGACTGTGAAATTGTCGGTCAGGTCTGGCTGCACTTCCTAAGAAGAGCAATTCTCGATTTGTAATATACGTAAATGCAAGTATTTACAAGGAAAATGTGTCTCTAGAAACAACATTGTTATGTATGGAGATGGAAGATTTAAAACTATCGTCTCACGTAGACAATTTTGTCACTAACATTGGATTATCTTAAACTTTATTTATATATTGTAACAATTTAAAAATCTGTATAGATTTAACTTGCGGTATATGGTGGTGAGTATTTTATGAGTTTAAAAGATCAAAGTATAATAATCAATGTTGATTTTTAAAATTGGCAGAAAATAAGCAAATTATGTGCAAAACATAAACATCATATAAGCAAAACATAAGAATATATACAAATATAACAAACATATATCAAAAGTTATAAACCTTACAAAAACTTATAAACATTTAATAATAGTTGTTATAAAATTTTATACATATTTTTTACCACATGCTTTATCGAAAATTTATGAATCCGTATTTTTGAAATTTTTGAAAAATCATATAATAAATGATTCATTTTTGAATATTTTCTCTATCGTATTTGACCTCATTAGTAACCTTAAAGTCTATTTAAAATGTTCATTGAGGTTCATCCATATTTCTATTAATAACAACAATGGATACCACAATATATGTATAGTAATTTCATCCAAATGTTCAGCTGAATGGTCAAAAGAAAAAAAAAATCAGCGGATAATGTTGATTAAAATAGAAAGTGTTGTTTTGACGATAATGAATACCAATATATGTATAGTAATTTGAAACAACGCTATCGCTTGTACAAATACTAAAGTAAAATGACTTTATATTTAAATGGTGGATCTCTGATCTTAGCAGAATTGCACTATTCGGCCAAGACAACCTCTACCCAATCAACTTGATACTGTGACAGCTCAATCTGCCGGTGATCTAAGTGTAAATCGGGTTTGTCGATAATTGATAGTAAAATCTATTCTTACGAGGGAAAAGGTTTAACGGCGGTAGCGTATTTGGGACGACCGTGGGAAAGTTACTCTACGGTGGTGGTGATGAAAACGCTAATTGAGAAGGTGATCGACCCTATGGGGTGGGTTCCGTGGAACAAGACGGTGAGTCCTCCAAGGACACTTACCTATGGAGAGTACATGAATTATGGACCGGGTTCGAGTGTTGGTAACCGGGTTAAATGGATTGGATATAAATCGAAGATGACAGACAAAGAGGCCCACAAGTATATGGTCGATGCTTTGATTAACAAACATGGATGGTTAAAGCAAACATGTGTACCATAAAAAAAATGTATAGAAAGCTCAATAAACTAGATAGGATCCATTATCTCATTAATACAAAAGAGAAAAGTTTTGTGCCATTTGTGAAAGAAGGTCTTTGGTTTTTTTTTTTTGACAATAGAAGGTCTTTGGTTTAGATAACCGGAAGCAGACACAAGCCTGATAAATTACCCAACAGACCAGGGAAGATGACAGTAAGAGAATGCCGGTTTGTTTCTTCATAGACGACTGATGACGGCTTCAACCTCATGAGGAGTGTAGAGGTGATATGCGGGTGCGACTTTGGCAATGTCGACATTGTTTGGAGTCACCTAAACCAGAAAAAGTAGAGAGTATCAATAAGGGCTAAACCGGGGTGGGATTCAATGGGGGTTTTTGGTAAACAAACTTGTAATCAATTGAATACCTTTTCTTCCATTACTTGCTTTAGGATAGATACAGCGATTGTTTCAGCTTCTTGAAGAGTTATATCCTGTAAGAGTTGTGAAATTGAAGTTCCAGGAAAAAAAACCCAAAATAGATTCTGTAATGCACTTGGGACAGTGAAACAATCAAGTTATTATTACCTTGTTGAATTGCTCTTGGAGAGAACTATCAGCTCCTTCTGAGCCTGACCCAATTGCCTTCGCATTGCATTGCCAGAATGTTCCCGATGGATCTGTGTAGTACCTGTACAAGATTGACTTGCTTAACATTGTTGTATACCAATTTGAGATCATATACAACTTTGGAAAATGATATAAGCTAAATGAATAACGACTTACAGGCTCGGTCCATTTTCATCATGCCCAGCAATGAGAAGGGATACTCCAAATGGACGAGACTGCAAACATATCGTGAGACCGAGCATAAGTACATTCATGTAAAAAGGAGACCGTAAAGAACCAAAGAATATTAGCTAAAACATTATGGAAGATTAGGGATTGTTACAGTGGTTCTTAAAGAGCTGTCTCTATCAATTCATAAATAAAACTTAATTCCTCAATCTAAGGGTTTATCTCTGATAATTGATCATAACTCCCAAGCAGAAAGAAGTGAAATCCACTAAACATTTCCTATGCTATAAAGAGTAATGGAGCGATTACTACCATTGACTCTTCATCTCCTTCACCAAACCGTAAAGCCAGATCACACAAAGCTTGTGTTGTAGATTCTACAGTCATTGGCTCACCATACGAGAACCTGTGGTTCTGCGCCACATAAAAATAAGAAGTTCGTAACAGAAAGATCTTTTTCGATGTAAGAAAGAAACCATGAGAAACAGAAACTAAGATCTCACTTGTGTCTCTACTCGTGCATGTTCAACAAGTGTTCGCGCATCAGCAATCAGACCACTCATGGCACAACCTATATGGTCATCAATTTCCATAATCTTCTCAACACTGCTCGGTTCCTACTTAAAAGAAAAAAAGAGAGACTGAGAAAGCAGTTACCATTATAGGTAAACTCAAAATGGTATTACAACTACAAAGTAATACCACCCCTCAGATTCTATCACTCATGCCAATTCAAGACTAAATTTGTAGAAAAATGTGAGTTTACTAAACCATAAAGGCACAGAAATAGCAAAGCAAAGAGTACTTCTTAGATCCTAATATATCAACCAGATGAAAATTGTTAAACATACAAATGTAAATAAAACAGTGGAGTCACACATGTAAGATACAGGGAGAGAAACTATACCAGCAAAGGCGAAGTAATACGCTTCTCGACTGCAAGAACAACCCCCTCTTTCGTCTTTACGCCAATCGCAGTAGAACCAAGCTGCAATCAAACCATAACAAACCCATTAATAGATACACAAGGGCATGCCCAATCTAACAGTTATTCCCCAACAAAGCACACTAACACAAAGCAATCCAAGAAAAATTCCAACTTTACTAGATTCTAGAGAAGCTATTAGCAGCTAGAGCAATCGAGAAATTACCTTGATAGCCTCAATGGCATACTCAACCTGAAAGAGACGACCTTCAGGAGAAAAAGTATTGACTCCTCTGTCATACTCAGTCCTTAACAACAACAAAAAATACACAAACTTGATCAATACAAGCACCATAATCATTGAATTCGAAGTGAACCCAGAAACGATGATACAAGATTATGTAGAAATCGAATGAAGAACTGCTTAATTTTTTCACCTAGTGAGAAACATCTTCTTCTCGATTTCGATCTGAAATTAAACCTCAATGTCTGCACAAAAAAGTTACAAAACCCTAGAAATATTACAGATCGAATGAAAAACAGGAAACGATTAAAGAAACTAAGAACTTGTATGGATTCAGAAACACTTTACCAGCTGAGAATTGATCTACGATTTCGAAGAAACAACTCTTCCTAGTTCCTTTTTAGCTCCCGAAGACAAGCACTCTTGAGTAACAAGTTAGACTTCGATTAACACTTGGGCCTTTAATGGGCCTACATGTCTCATCAAACGGGCCTTAAATTAGGCCCTAAATAACGATTTGTTGCTAGTACTCATCAAAAGGACCTTATATTAGGCTAATGTATATAACTCTTCACCTAATCGTTTAGCAACTCGTAGACGTATGTTTCTAGTATTTTCTTGATAATAAAATAAGTGACTATGAAGATAATATTAATAATTTTTGTATCAAGTTTTATAATCATAGTTGCTTATATAAAATTTGGAGATCGTACGATATTGATAAGTTAGGCCACCACTCCGCGATGATATAAGTGGACGACGATCTAGAAAATTAATTAAAAAACTTTAGTGACGTATTTAACCTCCCAACCTCCTGAAACAGAGACCACAAAATATTTGATTATAGTTTTTCATTCAATATACAACAATTTATATACTATCGAATCGAGTGATCGATATTAACATTATCTATCATCAGTATTATAATTTAAATTTGGTTTAGCCGACAGAAAAAAAATGGATATTGGAAGTCTTTTTTAATTTTGTTAAAGCGATTTTGGAAGTTTGCTCCAACGTTTTGTGACCAACCCTCCTAATCTATGATTCCACCATTTATATGTATTTTTGGTTTAAAATGTCCATAAACTATTAAGGATTCCAAAGTTGCTGATGACTCAGAAACTTGCATAAATTTGTTGTATTATTCTTTTAGCAAAACAAAATAAAGATTCGCTTAAGTTTATTTAATTTGGTGGAGGAATATTCGTTCTTATTATTATGTATAATTTGGTATTTCTTTAGTAATAAAACCAGCGAGATAAATATCATTACAAACGTACCTTATTGAGGTTAGGAAGAGACGGCTTTTTCCGAGAAACTGTTCGGACGATGTCTCCATGTTTAGCCTACAATTAGTCTCTTGTCTAAATCATAATTTAACACCAATTATTGACATTCTGCAATTAGAAATACTCCAAAAAAAATTATCATGACCCTAGATATACCGACACGTGCCACGATTTAATTAAGTAGGAATTAATTCGTCATTGGACGGCAGATAAGCACTCTAACAACTAATTGCTCGTGGTTTATTTTTTTCTTTTTCACCAATATTAATTATCTCAACATAACCAAAAACTGATAGAAAAAATTGGTTGAATAGCAAATTAGCAATAGCATGCAAGTTTTTGAAATTAATGTAATTACATATTAATAGTTTGGATGGAAGGTAAAATGTCTTCTTTTTTTTTGTGGTTAGAACTTAGAAGGAAGGTAAAATGTCTTAAGTGTAGAAATTTATAAACAATTTCAGTTTTTTTTTTTTGTCAAACAGTTTATTGGGTTACAACACTCATTTTTTCTTAAATACTCCCTCCGTTTCGTTTTAGTTGTCGTTTAAGGTTTTTGCACACAAATTAAGAAAATCATTAAATTTTTTGTTTTACCCTTTATTAATATATTTTATAATTTTTTCATTGGTCAAAACATTAAAACATTAATGACAAAACATTAATTTTCACCAAACATTTGCATTGAAAACCTAAAACGACAACTATTATGAAACAAAATTTTAATCCTAAAACGACAACTAAACTGAAACGGAGGGAGTATAAGCAGTACGAATAAACCTTAGTAATATATTTTTAAAATTAACCAGGTAAGAAATCCGAATAATAGTTTTATTAAGATTATGTAATGAAAATACACCTGACTAGACATACACATGTATATGTGTAGATATATTCAACGATTTCACAGTGCGTACGTTCATCAAATCAAACGTAAGAAGAAAAACGAAACCATTAGAAGAACCCCAAGAATTGTTAATGAGATTACCACTCTTATTGGCTATTATTTTATCTTCACCTTGCGTCTATATATAGACTAAAAAAATCTTATATTATTATTAAACTCAGATTCAATCAATCATCGGAATTTATAATTTTTGATCTTGAGACCTATAAACCAAACGATTTGTCCAAAAAGAAGAGATCAAAGTTTCTTCTTGAAAAAGAACGAAACACAAAGGCTATGGCATATTCAACCAAACTTTGTCTTCCTCTTAAAACGCCATGTTTTGTTCCAAAGACAGTAAGATCAAAGACTTTGATGCTACAACAGAGTCAAGTTCATGTTAATGTCAAGCAAGTCACAGTTTCACAGCCTCAGCCGATCAGATACTCCACCAAGAACACTGTAAGATCCTCTTTCTCTCTTTTTCTTTTTCTCCTTAGAACTGGATCATAATTTTCTTGAAGATTCAGACACAGCCCATTTGGTAAAATATGAATGTTGAAATTGTTTTGTTTATCTTTTTCTTGGAACAGGTTTTTGAAGATCCGACACAAGGGATCATCTGTTACACAGATGATAATGGAGAAGTTATATGTGAAGGATACGATGAAGGTCCTCGTTGTCCCACACAGAGTCCAATGGTAACTTCTTACTCAAGGTATGATAAATTCTCTAATCCTAAATTCATAGATCAATCTTGTTTCAAAGTTTTGAATAAATGGATTTTGGTATAAACAACGAAAAACAGAGAGGTGGAGATTCTTGATCTTCTGCAAAGAAGTTATCAGGAGCTGAGTAATTCAAAGAAGGATGGTCAAAGACAGATACTTGCTTCTGAACAAGAGTTCATGATGATCAAATGGAGCAGCTTTGACTTCCTCTAAATCCCTTTTCTCTTTTTGATTCGAAAGATCGAAATCTGGTTCTCTCTTCAAAATGGCCTCTTGAATAAGAATGTACAGAAAAAAGGCTGTGAAAGAAGCAGCGATTTGCTTCTTTCTTGTTTCTCTTTTGTAAGAACAAAAACATGAATATATGTCCAGATTTTGATATCAATCTATCCTTAAGTTTTAACTTTTAAGACAAAAAAAAAAAGGTACAAGGATCCAACATATGTATAGACAAAAGAATCTTTCATAGTTCATAACACATGAAAGCAAAAGCTATACACAAGAGAAATGTCTCTCTATCTTTCTGAGGAATTTTCAGACAATCTCCTAAGTCTCTAACTTTAACGACCCAAAATCTAAAAGACGCAAACAAAATCGATATCTGACAGAAACCCAACCTTCCAATAAAGAAAGAAAAAATGAATAATAATGTGTTCCCCAATGCCAAAAATCTATACAAGACCAAAAATAAACTTACAATCTTCATTCTTGTATCACTCTGCTTGTGTACCGGCTTGAGAGGTTTCTTCAGGTTGATCAGACCTGGAGTTACTCGCAACGACATTAGGCGGAGACCATTGATCAGGGACCATGAGGAAGTAAGTTGTCATCGCCTTTCTGAATCTTCTCTTGTATTGCTTTGGAGATATTACTGTTGGTGCTTCATTCTTTGGTCCTCCTAAGATTCCTGTAAATTTCACCCAAGACTCTAGATGCTTGTCCCATGTGTACTGCCTCAAGAAGTCGATAATCCCGAGAACTAGCTCGTTCTTTTCTTCATCCACGCCTACTAGCAACGAATAATCCATCACATCACCCAACTGCAAACACGAAAAATTATAGTTATTGCTAATATACCTTTTCAAAGAGTAGTGAAGAGTAAATGGTTTGCAAAGGAGTAAATGGTTTGCAGAAAAATAAAACTCACTGCAAGAAAAGCAGTATCGTTCCAGACGGCTCTTTCCAACAATCGTTTTGCTTTGTTACCGACGAAAATGGGAGAAGTTGGCATTGCTTCAATCAAGTTTTGATCCAACAAGACTTTGTTGCTCCCACTGGAGTCAGGATTGTAGCGCGCCCGGGAAGATCCTTTAAGGTCATATAGCCGTTTCACAGTTCTTCCAAACAGAAGATTCTCCATAATCAGAACATCCATCTTTGTTTCTTTCCCGCTCTTAAGTTGCTTTGTTGCGACCTATTATTAACACAATACATAATTTCATCAAGAGTTAATTAAACATGACCGGGAAAGTCTCTCATCTTAGCAGTTACGTACCTGATAGATTCCCAATATTTTTGCCAGGCAGGTTGGGCTTTTCGTGCTGATAGACTCAGATAAGTATTTGAAGTAAGCAGGTGCAAATTTGATGAATGATTCCAACTCTGTCTTGGTGACTTGCTTGATGATAAATCGATCATCCAGGGTTTTAGCAAAGAAGACATTGCTCTTGCCACCTTGAGCTCCCCATTTTTTACACCGGCTAAGAGACCTTATAAACTCAAGTTCCGAAGGGAGACATATACCCCGCAGCGCCTCAAATCGTTTTGCATAGTAACAAGTAACAGTGTACTTCACTTTTCCAAGCGTACCGTCCTCTCCATATGAGACTCGAGCATGTAAAGCTTTTGTATATGATAGTGGGTCCAAAAGTGAGCTACTGCGAGATGAGGATATTGAAAGTATGCTCTCGTCGACTGAACCATTGCTTCTGCTAGGGTCAAAAATGGTGTCATCAACTGGGCGAGGGATATTGAGTTCAGAAGGATATGAAACTAGAGATTCCCCTTCAACAGAAGTTTGGCGTTGATATTCCGGTGACATCAAGGCATATGCGATCATACTAGTGGGTTCATCATCATAAACCGGAACAACAATATCATTTAAGCCTACGGGCAGAAGTAGCCTTGGTCCACCTTGAAGTTCTGCCTCTCTAAAAGATGAAATATAGATAGGGCTATGCTCGCCAAATGTATCAAGCTTCTGAGAGCTAAGCAGGAAATTCTTGTTAATGGAACGGTAGAAGTTGAGGAATGGCACACTTAACCAGCTGACAGAGTCTTCTGAATTCTCATAATTCTTACTCGGTAATGCTGGGGAAACAGGATAGGCCACCTTGAATTCATTTTGCTGTTCTGGGAGATCTATAGGCATTAGCCCCTCTGAGATTGGAGGAAAAGTTGAAGAGTTTGACATGGTGGAAGGAGGAAGCAAGACCTTATTGTTGGTTGGAATCTCCACAGATGTTTGACGTTCACCTATCCATGCTGCATCAAGAGTGGCTGATAGATTTTTCATAACTATCTGGCCATCAGACTGTGTTCTACGAACATCGACTTTATTTTCCAGAGGATAAGATGTATCTGGTAAGGTCTTGCTGGGAGAAACCTCTCCCCCATCATTCTTTTCTTGATTCAAATCTGAATTTGTATCCGCTTCCTTCTGAACATTATTTAAGGAGCCAGTGTCACCAGTAGAATCACCATCAGGATTCAGATTAACCTCTGAGCCAGTAAGAAGAGAGTTGGTCCCAGCATTCATCTCAGGGAGCGTCTGGCTCTTAGCCAAGGGAGGTTTCTCGTTCTCTTCTCTCTTTGTGTCATCACTATTCTCAAGCTTATGTAAAGTAGATGCATTAATCAAGCGGTGATCCCACATGTATGACTGAAAAAGCAGTTGTCTGCGAATCCGATATAGCTCAAGAATGTCCACGAGAGGTTGGCCTTCGTTCACCTCCCTGTGCAACATCTTTTGCATATTCTCCTGGAAGAAATGTAAGAATAGTTACAAAACGGACCTTGTCTTATTTTGGCAATTGTCTTCCATTTGTTATAAGGTATAAAACCAATTTACTTTGCATCGCTGAGTTTTAGATACTCTTTACTAATAAAACAAATTTTCACCTCAAATTCTGCTTTCTCTCTTTGCAGCACTTCTTCGAGTTCACCAATTCGACGCCTAAAACCTTTCTCTGCAATTTGACTAATAGCATTTAATACTTCAGAAAACAGAAGCTCTGCTCTCTCTATCACCTGCTTAATAAAAAAGAAGGAGAAGTCAGTGAAGTTGAAGTGTTCAATTTCAAAACTGCATCCAAGAGAATCACAGGTAATTCACCTCATCTGTCTCTCTCTGTATCCAGTCCTGATTCTCATAGTTGAAACTAAGAATTGATGGTGGAAGGTAGACCGAATGAACATCTATAGTAGCGTAACGGAAGCAAGCAACCATGTTCCCAAAGCTGCACGTGCACAACTTGTTAGGAAAAAACACAGACTTTTAAACAAGACAGTTTTGAACAATTCATCATAATTGGCCCAAGGAGGACGCGAGAAAAAAAGTACCCATAGAAGCGAAGACAATCTCTATGCAGAGAATGGCCACAACAAGCTACTCTACTAGCAGCTGCGTGATTTGAGAAACTGAGCTCCAGAAACTTCCCAAACGATAATCCCCATGCAGCATCAGACATAACCACTCGTAGAGTCGCTGGAGGGAAGCCGTTAGGTCGCGGGCATCTCAAGCATCTATGCCACATCCAGATCTTCCCCTCCTTTTCACCAGGTAAGAGATAATCTTGGAGCTTCTTGACAGATATAGTAAGGCTGCCTTGTCGATGAGTGTAACAATGAACATGAGCTTCTGATGGCATCTCACATGACCGGCACCTGTAACTCTGCAAAAGTTTTGAGCATGCATTTAGGTTACTAAATTATTATGTAAGCTGTAATAGAGATGTCTTATAAAACAAAACAAAACAAAAATAGAAATAATCTCACCTGATCGAACAAATGATCTCTCAAGAACCGTCCCAAGGGTTTATCAAAACTACCATAGTATTTTATCCGAAAGAGGTGAGACCTCTCACACACAGTTCCTTTCCACACTGATCGGGAAGATAGAGAAACCAAAATGCTCTGGTGGTCAGAGGGTGACGGAGGAAATTCTTCTTTTTGGGATTGTGTTTCCTTTGGTTTCTCATTGTTTTGTTGTTGGACGGTTGTAAGCTCTGAACCATTGTCTTGGTTTTCGACCATAATGCTCGTACCACTTTGAGAACTCTTTCGCACAAAGCCTTGCCCTGATGAATGTAAGGAATTTTCCATTGTGTCATCTGCCACAACAACTGGATTGGTTTTGTCAACTGGTGTGTCCACCGGTACAGATCTTCCAGAGAAATCTGAGTTTCTGCTCTCTATCACACGGTCAGGCAAATTCAATGAAACATTATGGCGTGAAAAGATGAAACTCGGATTTATTTCTCTAGCCTGCCAGCCTGAACCATTGGGTATAAGAGGGTTTGCATCCTTCTGGATGGATAGATTGGTAGTGGTCGAGAGCAACTCTGATACTGGAACACTGTTTGCTCGTTGTGGTTCAGCACAAGATAGCATTGTCGGAGATTTTTCATATGTTGAGACCGTGAAACCTGGCACAGTAGATATTGAACGTTCAATGCTCGTAGATTTATCCGGAAGTGCCACCGTAATCGGGGAATTCAAAGGAAGTTCTGGTGAGGCTCCCTCATCAGCAAGAAACGATGTTTCGAGTGCCAAATGATAAGCTGCAAAAACTCCATACTGGACCACATGCTTCACTTTTTTCAACTCATCTTCATTTGCACCCCTAAGCAAAATCTGAAGAAGAAGGGACAGAAAAAGCAAGAGGTAACATCATGAGGCCATCAGATATAAAATGTGGTCTGTATATTAAATTCTAATAGTTGGGAGTGCTTACTGTAAAGCCTAATGGTTTTGGACAATGCTCAAAATACATCAACGTCTTCGCCACTTTCTTTCCAACTTGACCAGTTGAATCATGTTCCTCAAAAAACCTATCCACCCGAAAATTCTCACAGTAACCCAGCTTTTGAGAGGAGAGGTGGTCTACTGAAGGAATTATTTGAGCACCAGTGCAGCGAGCAATGCGGTCTAGAAGTGGCCTCTTGATGTTAAGAACAACAGATATGTCTTTGGCTAGAAGATAATCTTGCGCAAATCGAGAAACTGATTTTTCGACTAGTAGAATATTTGGACGTTCAGCATGAATCTTAGCAACAGCCATCTTTAGATGATCCTTTTCCTGAAAACCAAAATATGTGTAAAGAGTAGAAGGGTTTAGACAGAGATAAGAAAATCCAATTCTAACCACCAACGGGAAGA